TGTATGAAAAAAAGCATTGTGCCGAAGATGCTCTTAATTTACAAAACAGAATCAATAAAAATTATGGAAAACCACAAAATAAAGTGAAAAAAATATTATTTAGCTTGAAGAAAATAAAGTTAAATAAAATAGAATTGGATATTATTTAGGAAGAACGCATAATTAATTGAATATTATGGGATAAATTGGGAGTAAATTTTTATTTTCAAGGAATAATTTATTATAATCGGATTTTCATAATACAATCGAAAAGAAAACTCATTCAATTTATTTTGTGTTTTCTTTTCCTTTTTTTTTCTTGAGATGATTGACTTGAACAGATATTTCCGAAAAGATGGTTGAACAACAATAATAATTGTCGATTACATTAAGATTAAGACTTAATTTTACTATAACATGGAATGGATAAAATGAGCTTGAATTTTTACTACTCAAAAATTACTCACTTGAAAAAATTGGTGATAGTCGGTAGTTATATGAGTGACTACGATCTTAGAAAAATAATATCGGAGAAAATTTGTGATTATAAAATAAAATTCAAATTTTATTAATTTTGTTTAAACATGTTGAACTTGTTTATTCACACTTTCAAACAAATTAATATACATATTTCAAATAAAACATGTGTACTTTTAATTTTATTTACTTAGAAGAATGTGTTTGTACATTGCTCATAGAGTATCGCAAAAGGAACGAGAAAATAAACATTACAGCTTATCTGTTTCGGTTAAGAGAATCTTAAAAGGTAATGTGTAAGCTAAGTTTTGTCTCATCAATATATGCAAAGGCATTCAAAATTGTAGTTATAGAAATGAATGTTCATCACTTTTGGCGAAATTTCGAAGACGTGTTGGATTGAATTTTTGAAAATGAAAAACATACATGTCAAAACTGAAAAATTGGGTAAATTGCAAAAAATTGAAAACTTCAACCTCATTATCAATAGAAATTATTTAAAATTATTAAGTTTAACCTTTTATAGGTGCTCACATATTGTAATTCATGTTTCAATTATGCACCATTCATCTTATTTTTTGTGGAAGACATAGCGCTTTCGTGTGTTACAAAGAGACTTTCCAGTGAATTTCCCTTTCAAATTTGTGAATTGATGTACGTAAAGGACCCATTTATTGTTTATTATATTTTAACTGTAATCAAAATTCACATATAAATGCTACGTATTATGAACCGACAATTTACAAGCTTAAAATTACCTTCAGCTGTAATCAGTAAAAAATGGGTGTTAAAAATTTTCAATATTCTTTTATTAAAAAGTATTTTTTGTGTACTCTTAAAAATTTATAAAATTATTTTCTGCAAGTTCTCTACGAATTCCTATGGTAGAAACCCCAAAAGAATAAGAAGGAAAAAAATAAAAACTTATATGAAATGTAAGTTTTGTATAAAAATATTTTCTTTGACCAAACTCCCATCTTTAAATATAAAACTAAATGGAGAACTCAAAACCTTTTCTTTTTTGATTACAACCATGTGATTTTTATGTCAGAAACATAAACGTATATAATTTTATGCACCTCTATACACACTTTTATACATAATAATCTTATGTATGTAAATATGCGAGCTTGAGAAAAATTTTTCTAATACATGTGAAATACTTGCATAATGAATACAAACGCATATAGAATGTTTAGAAGAATCTTGTAAAGGCGAAGAAAACGAGAAAGTTTATTGTGCAAAAGAAAGTTTAACATTTTTTTAATTAAAAGTTTTCGTCGTTTACTTCAATTACACCATTTGGAATTATGTAAGAAAATGTTCGGTATTTCGGTATAAACGCAAGCAGACGAGGTTTTTAATTCTGAAAAGTTTTTTCTATATTAATGTCAGTAATATTATTGTAAAAAGTTACCTATACGTATAGGTGTCATTAAAATAAAATAAGAAAAATTAAGAAAAAAAATTCATTATTTACTTTGCGAGTTCAAAGTGCAAAATATTACAGAACCAATACCAACAAGTAAAAGTTTACACCCAAAAGGAAATTTCCAACGGAAGAAATTGGTGTAAATTGTTTTCGGAAACAAATTTAAAAATTTCTGTTTTCCCTAAATTCCCTGAAAAATAAGGTTAAAAAAAAAAGTTGGAAACATTTATACAATATGAGAATGTTTCTGTAAAATAAAAAAGTTGATAAGGTTTTAATTTAATATTAATTTTTTTTCTGTTTCATATAAATAAAGTTCCCTACAAAGGACTTATTAAGGTTTTTTGTTAAATCTTTAAAGAAAAGTAAGAAAATTTAAAGGTTAGAAAAACATTTAGTGATTGTTTTCTTTCTCAATAATTGAAATAGCCAGTGTATATAATTTTGCACTATATAGTGGTTATACTATTTTACTATAATTAGTTGAACATCTGGATCGAATCCAGTATTGAGCTCTGCCATATGAACGTAATAAGTGTACAAACATTAAAAAATAAAATGTTCACTTATAAGGCAAAATAAAGCTCACAATTTAAAACTTGAAAAAAAATAAATACTTTACGTAATTTGTGAGAATTTTTTTTTTATCTTGTAATTCAAAACACTAAGTGTTCACACTAAATTCAGTTATGATAATATCTTCTTTAATGTATAACAATATAAAATGAATTCATTTTTTTTTTTATTGGAAATTACTTAAATTTAAATTTATAATCATATATTAATTTATTTGTTTAAAATATGTTTTTATAATATATATGTATGTATACATAGAGATATGTTGATATAGAAAAATCAATAAAAATTTTGAAGTAGCTATTAATAAATCATTTGAGAAGCTATGAAAATAAGCAACTAATGCCATATATATCTATATATATATCATAGGGCATAATAAGCAACTATCAAAATTTTCGTATTAAGTCGTCAGATGGTGTTAAACCTACATATATAAAATAACATAAATATCTTCCAATATTTCAATATATTAGGATAAAATTTTTAAATCGACACGTAAAATAAATAAAAATAAAAATCTAGAATGCCGAAATTGTTTTGTTTTGGCATAACTTTAAAAACTAAAGTTTAGATGTCAAATATTTTTATAAAAAATATCTATTTTATTTATAATGGGGTAATAATATAAAATCTTTTCTTAAACATTTTTATTTTCAAAATTAAATTTAATGTTTTGATGTAGTGCCATTATAATTATTAAAAAAAATTCAAATATAGTGACTGTATTAAAATCTAAATAATTCTTGTGATAATTTGTTGTAGGGAGTGACAAAATTGGATCTTGCGGGCCACATTCAGCTTTTTGAAGAATTTTTTAATGCTCTTGATATATGCACAAGAGTTTTATTTTTATTTTTGTGTTATTATATTTTAAAAAATTGTTTAGAAAAGTCTTTTGAATTATTGACAAAAAAAATTAAAAAGTAAGTGCAACCTTATAATAAATTAATGATATGTCCGGCATTACCATATTGATCTCATAGGAAATCTGAAAAATTTCGCATATTGATTTCGAATAATCTGATAAACTGGTAAAGTTTAAAAAATCTGGCATTTGGGTAAGAAATCTGATCATCTGACAAGACTTTTAAAAAATGTGAAAGGTCAGACAGATCGGGCAATATGGAAATGCTGGATATGACACAAGTTCAAAAAATATGATGTGACTTGTCAAAAACTGGTTGAATAAAGACAAACAGCGTTGTAATCGCCTGTAATCGATCGACTCCATATCGATTTTCAATTTTTCAATTTTCATTGTAATGGACAATTAATTTTGAAGGAAGCAGTATTTGTACCACCACTCTTGCTTTTTTAATTTCTACGCTCGAAAAATTTGAAATTATAAAAAATTACTTCTGAATATCTAGAAAATATCTGAAAATCTATTTTCCCACATTGAAATCAAATATAAGATCATGAAAATATTCTAAAATTAAATTATGTAATTCAATTATTGTAGGCATCAAAGTAATGAAATTTTTTGTAACTATTTTTTATAATTTTTCAATAAAAATAGCTATTAATTTACAAAAATTTCAACATTAATCTAAAATAAATGATTTTATTTTAATTTTAAAAACACGCCGCAAATATTAAATGTCTTTATAATGGTTAAATTTAGTAATATAAGAAAAATTTTATTAAACTAGGATAAATTTTCTTGGAAAATTAGAAAAACAAAATTATTTTTTATTTATTGTATACCAAAGTATTAAGATTAATGCAAATTTTACACGTAAATCACATTAAAATATACCTTCAAACCACTTACGGTATAACAAACTAAGTAATAAAAGTAATAAAATGTTTTCTTTCATGGCAAAAATCAATTTTCGCACAATGAAATTTTCATAAAATTAGGTGTTTAGAATTTTTGTTGTTGTTTTGGGAAACTTTTTTCTCTTTTTCCTTATATTTTCTCGTAAACTTTGTTATTATCTCTCATTTTCCTCTTTTTTTTCTTTTTAACATATTTTTGTTTTGTTTTGGTTTTTGCTTCTTTGCGTTTTCTTATTTACTTATTGCAATCATTTTAGAAAATGATAGAGGGGAGAAAAATGTTTAAGAGTGCCAAAAATTATTTACACGGTGTCAATTATTTTAATACGTAAATTGAATTTTTATGGGTAATTGAATTGACTTTAAAAATCAAATGAGATTTTGTGATGAAAAAAAATGAAAAAAGAAAAACATGTAGAGTGGGATTTTTTTTTTAAATTTATTATGTGTACTTAAAATTTTAGTAAAATTTCTTTGAAATTTATTAAATTAGCGTAAGCAATGAAAGTAATAACTTTATAAAAACGTGACAACAATAATCTTATCAGAATAAAATTTTTATATTAAAATATTATTTAAATTATTTTGTGATTTTATTAAATAAATAATTAATAAGTGACATTTGGTTCTGTTTGGTGAATTTGTGCTAAAAATTTATTTTTAATCAAATGCCGAAGTGTAGTATACCCAAAATTTTTGTAATGGCTTTATTAACAGCTAAATGTCTATAAATATTTATATTGAAAAATTTATATTAATTTACTTACCATAAGTATATTGCAGTTGTTAAAATATTAAACTATATATACAAACGCGTGTGAAGTATTGGCGGCATTAAAAATACTCCAAATAGTAAATTGTAAACTAAATGCAAATATAAGTATGTGTCTCTCAAGAAAAGCATTTTTCTTTCAAGGATACGGAAACAAAAATAAACAATTCATTTATCGGAAATTATAATTGGCAACATTAATGTTAAAGACAGTCTATTGAAAACTTAAAAAAAAAGTAATATAGTGCGTTTGATTATACAATGTCTTCAAGTATATTTCCGGTCAACATATACGAGTACATATGTATGTATAAGAATAGAAATTCGGAAGTATGTGAAAAAATGCAGTCATTTTCATGTAATATGAAAATAAATAAAAATATGTGCGTAAAATAAATTTTGGAAGATTTAAGAAGCAATTATCCCTCATAGGGAACTAACAACAACTACAGGAAAATTGTTATCTTCACGAAATGTAAGTTAAATTTGTGCGAAAAGTAATTGAAAAAATGTATTTGCAAAATCTAAAACCCAAAAATTGCATATTTTAACAAAACTTATGATTTTTTTATAATATACATATATATTCTTTTCTATTGCGATTTTATATCGGAATAACTGAATCAAATATTCAGAAAATTAAAATAGTTAATGTGCACATTAACCTCTAAATCTAATAATATTTTATTATTTTTTGAAATATATTAAAATGTCATTTAAATGATATTATATTAAAATTTTTATAGAAATTTTTCAGAAACATTAACATTTAAGTTTATAATAAAAAAAAATGGCAATTAATAATAATAGTCGAAATTGCCTTATTTGTTTGCAACAATAAAACCACTGACATTAGAATCTTAACATTTATTGCAATTATTCCAATTAAATAATAATTCTATTAAAATACGACTTTTTTTCCACCGACAAAAAATTCTGCTACATGTTTTTGTACATCTTCTCCTATTGAATTTTTAGCTTTTATTGTATAAAATCCCTTGGGACGACAAATTGGATTTTTTATCAATAAGGTGTGAATACCATGAGATTTTTCAGTTATAGTATAAAATGGATCAGTTTTTAATTGATAGTTATTTCTAAACCATGTAACAATTGGTCTAGGTGTTCCAATTACTCGACATTCTATTTCTAGTTCATCATTCATACAATGATATCTATCTACAATTTAAAAGAGTGTGTTGAATAAAAACAGGAAAAAAATTTTTTTCTTTAAAAAATCTAATTTACCTTTTATATATTCTATGGTGGGAGATCGAGGTTCCGCCTTAAAACTTGTCATATCACAGACGCTAATAAAACAACTAGAAGAAGCTTGTTTCTCACCATTTGTAATCACACAAGTATATTCGCCAGAATCTTCCGTAAAGCAATTAATAATTTCTAATGACAAAATATCGTATAAGTTTATAGACATAATATATCTATCGTTGCTGTGAATTTCTTTTCCATCTTTGAACCATTTAACTTCTAGATCAGTTCCATTGACTGAACATGAGATTCTAACATTTTTACCCTCCATAACAGTTGTATTTGGTAAATGATTAACAAAACATAAATTTGATGGATCATCTCGATTTTGAGCAAGAAATCTTTTTATACGATTCATAAACGTACTTCCTTCTTCTTCTCGAATTCTATTCCATTTTGCAAGTTCAGCTAATTTTTCACGTAACATATTAAGCATTTCCATTTGTTTCTGTTCAGCTTCTAGCCTTTCTCGTTCAAACTCTTCCTCTTGAAGTCGTTCAGCTTCCATTTCAGCTAATTCTTCCTCAGTATATTCCGATACTACTTTAGATATTATATTTTCTTCTTCATATTCTTCAAGTTCTTCATGTTTTTCAAGAATTTCTTCGGCTTCTTCTACTTTAATATGTGGCTCGTCCAATATATTTAAAATAATTTCCTCGTCATCATTCAATTTTAAGTCAACAGACGGATCGTTACTATCGATATCTGATACAACTGGCGTAGTCATTTCAATTAATAATGTGCTTTTGTTCTATTCGACGGTAGTTTAGCATCTGATGTATGGCGCCGATTCCCATTCAAATAAATTTGTTATTCTTTTTTTGGATCAACTCCAAATTTTAAATTTAGTTTCGCTAATTATGTACTTTGTACACATTGATTTTTATTCCCCACCTGTTTTTTTTTTGTGATTGATTAATTTTTATCGCCTTGACTTTGATACTTTTCGAGATTCTTTTTATTTGAATTTAATTGTACGAGACTTGAATTATTTTTCTCTTCTCTATTTGATAATCAAATCGATTAATTTCTATGAACATTTTTTTAATGATTTATGAGTATTTAAAATTCTAAAAGCGTTATCGCAATAAATATCGTTTCAGTTCTTATATACCAATAATATAACTGCATCTTAAGAATATTATAAATTTCTTTTACACCTTAATAGCCTAGTTTTTACCATAAGTTATTAAGTGCACAGAACTATTATCACTAGATCCCTATGATAAGGATAAAAGTTATAGTTCTTTGAATTTCTAACAAGCCTTTTATGATGTGTATTTTCATATTCTTTTTTATTTTTCTAACATTTTAAACTTTTTATATAGGTACCTAGCTTCGGAAATTTGTTAATTTTAATAATCAACTAATAAAAAGTAAAAAAATTAAATAATCTCAGTTGCATAGCTACCACTACATACAAATTTTTTTCTCAATATTTTATCGAATAAAATTAATCTAAAAATATCCTAAAAAATTTGTACCACTCTAAAAACAATTGGCAAAGAAAAAATAATCTCTTGAGCTCATAAAAAACAAAATGTTTGGCAATCAATCTTTAATTACAACATTGAAGAAAAGAACAAAAAATAAAAAAAAAATTCTGTTTTTTATAAAACTTACATTATATTTATTTCCCAAATTTTTGAATATTATCACTTCCCAACAATAATAAGAGAAATTAGAATTATTTAATAAACAACTTTTTCTGTACTAATAAGAAATTCTACAATATGTTTTCGTATATGTTCTCCTCTTGTGTTAGTAGCTTTGATTACGTAAATACCAGTATCACGTGGTGTTGGACTTTTAATCATTAAGGCATGGACACCATGGGATTTCTCAGCTACAGTATAAATTTGATTCGTTTTAAGCTCAACATCATCTCTGTAAAATGTTACAACTGGTCTCGGAGTACCATGGACGCGACATTCAATTGTAAGTTCATCGTTAACACAATGATAACTATCTGCAAATTGGTAATTGATTTCCTAAAGTTATACCTTAATGAAATTATAAAATGCATAATTACCTTCGACTGCATCAATATTAGGTGGACATGGTTCATCCTTCCAACTTGAAACATCATATACCCCTACAAAACAGGTTGATGAAGCTCTTTTATTTCCGTTAAATATCATACATGTATATTCGCCTGAATCGACCTTTAAACAATTTAAAATTTCAAGGGATAATATGTCGTACAAATTTACGGACATTATATATTTGTCGTCTGGATGAATTTCTCTACCATTTTTATACCATTTTATCTCTAAATCAGTTCCATTGACTGAACATGAAATTCTAACATTTTTACCTTCCATAACAGTTGCATTTGGTAAGTGATTTACAAAACATGGATTTGTCGGGTCATTTCGTTTTTGTGCAATAAACCTTTTAATACGATTCATGAATGTAACACCTTCTTCCTCGCGAATGCGATTCCATTTTTCAATTTCAGCCATCTGGTCACGTAATATTTTTATTCTCGCCCTTTCTTTACGTTCCCATTCTCGCTTTTCTTCCTCCAGTCGTTCCATTTCCAAACGGGCAGCTTCTCTTGCTGCTAATTCTTCTTCTGTTGGTTCTGGTTCAGGTTCTGGTGTTGCTTCTTTTTCTTCATCTTCTAGATAATCTTCATCCTCTGGATTTACGCTCAATTCACGATCTGATTTTATTTCTGATCCATCGCGTGATTCTGATTCCTGGTCTTTCTTTTCTGCTTCTTCTTTACCTTTTTTCTGTTGCCCTTCCATTTGAACTACCGATGGTTTTGCTCTCTTCGGTGGTGGTTTGGCTTCTGGTCCAGTCGTTGGTGGTGCAGGTTTTTGTTCAAATAATTTTTTATTCACTTTTGGTCCACCGCCAAGTTCTAATTTTAATTTCGGCAATTGCACTGGTGATGGTGATCTTTCTTCTTCTTCATCATCGTCCTTTCCTTTTTTGGCAACCTTTTTTTTAATAGTTTTTGTTTTCGGTTTTGGTGATTCTCTTTCGACACTCGCACTTGGACTTCCTTCTGTTCCTTCTTTTTCCGATGGAGCAATCGAAACAGATTTACTTTTCCGAGAAGATTTTTTTGCTTTTTTCTTTTTAGTTTCATCAAGCCCATCAGTTTGTGCCTGCGCATCGTAATCTACGTCATCATATTCTTCTATCATATATACAACTTCAACGTTTGATATATCCATAACAGAAGCACGATCTACTACCGCGACATCTGAAGTTATATATCGAGCTGGTTCGTAATTAGCGTCATCACTAATATCCATATACGAAGCTCTATCAAATACCATTTTATGAGCAATTAATTGATCCCGAATATCTTTTCCAAGTTCAAAAGGAGTTTTTTCTTTTGATTGTCTATTTATAAAAGGTGTTATACTGCGAATTTTGAATGGGGCAGAGGGATCCTCGCTACGTCTTTGGAAATAATTAGATAACGGTGTTTTACTGCGACTACTTCTCGGTGCCGGAGTCATACTACCAGCTCTGTTTTCAGCAGCAGGTTCCTCGCTTCCTCTTTCCTGTTTACCCGGAGATTTGCTCTTTTTCTTTTTGGGTTTCGGAACTTTAAGGTTACCACTGGAAGCATCTTTTTCAGTTGGTATTTGACCTTCTGCTGCATTTTCTGTATCAATTACTGCCATTTTGAAAATATCTATTTATTCAAAAACTATGATTTTCTTTAAAATTTTAACTTTAGCCGTAATTTTCAAACGTCTTATCGATAAGACGTTCAACAATAGACTGAACTGATAAAATAACATTTACATTGCACTTGAAATTGCCAACGGAATTCTTGAGTGTGTGACAATGAATTTGTATTATTTTTAATAAAATGTTTTATAATTAGCATCGTTAAATTTAAATAAATCAATGTTCAATAGCCAATTTACTTGTAAATAAAATATGCATACATCGACATTGTGAGATTAATGTTTTAGAAAATTGTTTCTTAATTAAATATGCTCATATGTAATATGTGTAAATACTACAATTGTTAAAAGAAAATTTCCCCTGAAATGTTGAAAAACTGAAAACGCAATTCTACAACCACAATAGTAAAAAAAACCAACTACTTTTAATTTTATCAATGGTGTAATGTTCTTTCTCTTTTTACGTATATCTTAGGTATTTTTGATCTATTGTTTTTTTCATTTTCCGGAAATTGGAAATTGTTAAATAGATTTGGGAAATTTGTTTTAAGTGCAGAAATAAAATTCGCTAAAATACAAGAATGTAAAATACAATGAATTTGTTGTTTAATGAATTGTAAACGTGTCTATTTTAAAAGTTAATCAATCAGATCTTTCATACATACATATATACGTTTAAGAAAGCCAACTTAGAAAATTTATTGAATTTAAGGAATTAAAGAATTTCTGAACGGAATTTATTTGTGTATGTTCTTAAGTATGATTTTATTAAATTGGTATACAAGTATTGACTTACTAATTCATGTTGTACAATTTCAAAGAATTGAGTAAATAATGCTGCTAAGTAAAAACATGCGGCTGCATTCTCTAAAAACCCTTAGGAAAATGAATTTGAAATATGCTACTTTTTATTCTATACTATATACATAGTAGAATATACTATAAAACGCTGGTCTTGAATTCAACCGAGTGCATATTCAATCTGTTGCAATGTTAACTTTTATTTACAAGTATGTACTAATAATATAAATTATATTAATACATTCCAAATAACATTTGAAGCAAAATGAAAATGTACAAATATTTTCTGACAATAGAAATAAAAGCATACATGATGGGGCTCTCTTTGCCTCTAGTTATCCTTGTCAACCAAAATTACAGGTATGTAATTGTTCTTGTTAAAAATGAAAGCGAGAAAGACAACTCTCTAACATTTACAAATACCCTTACACCCCACCCTTTATAGGAATATTTAAAATTGCGGAAATTTAAAGGTCTATCGATGCATTTTCAAAAAGTTATGGTATTTTCAGTTATAAAGTAAAAACTAATACTTGATAGAAGCATAAACTCTTGTAACCTACTAATATTTAAAATGCAGATATTAAAATTTAGTAAACGAAAATTTCTTACAGTTTAAAACGTTTATTCTCAATATTTAAAAGACAAAGCCCCTTCCTTCTGAAAATAAGTAATTCTTATTTTCTTCATTACTCTTCTTTTTAACTTCTCTTCGCATTTGTAAGCTTGTGAGGACAAAATTTCTTTTATTTAAGAAGTTCATATTTCTCACTACTACTAAAATGAAAGTAAAACGATTTGAATACTGTTTACGCTAAAAGGCTGTGAACCAAACGAAAAAAAAAACATCAAACGATAATGTTTTCACAGTAAAATGTCGGAACTGACGACACTCATTCGATTGGTATTCTGACATTGAAAATGTACCGCTTCAGGTGTAAATTAAATTGTAATATTGCCAATTCAGTACGATCTTTCTAACCTTTAATAAATTTTGTATTTCTATTTCGAATTAATATTGATGATTTTGTACATCTTAAAATAAAATGATGCATCCTTTAGTTTAAATCACTTTCTAATTTTAAATATTTTTTTCTTATTTTTTCAAAGTAAAAGAGAAATTTGACTTTATTTTGTTTATTGAACTTGAAAATAAAAAAATAAAAACAAAATTTGAATAAAGTGGTGCAAATAATGCACTTTGTTTTTCTGATTTTTTACATTATCGATAAGACTGTAGGCTAAGAGAATTCCACTGATTTAAGTATTAACAATTAAATGGGAATTTCGGAAGTTCAATACTTCTTTTTAAAAACTAAAACACATGAGTATTTGTTCAGTAGAATATCACAAAATTTTGATAATTTGATAGCAATTGATCAAATTCGAATTTAGTGCCAACAAAAGCACCATTCTCTTGCACTACTGCTAAAACAAATTGAAAGGATTTACTACTGTAAAAAGAATTATCTTTGCTGTGCTACGTAATATTCTTTAAATCCGAAAATAGTAAATGACTAAAATATGTTTTTTTGAAATAGTGACTGTACCAATTGATTGACAATAAATTTTATTTAACAAAATGTTCAATATTTTAAGCAGAATATTTAGTATTAATTAAACAATCGAAACGAGTTAAACATTTTTCGAAAATTTAAAAAAAATAATTTAAAATAATGGGTACTGCTGATATTGAAAACTCTTCTCTTAAGACTACGGAAAAATTATTGCAAACATCTCTAGAAACTGTTAAAATTTTGAAAAGTGTTAAGCAATTTAAAAAATCTTTAACTCCTCTCCACAAGACTAAAAATCGAGATTCAACAAGTATGACGCCGACAAGAGGTGGACGAAGTTTAACACCTTTCTCCTTGTATTTAAGTAGACATAGCAGTGATCCAAGTAATCCAAAACAATGGCGTAGCATAACGCCCTTTATAGATCGAAAAAATAAAGAAAAAACTCCGTTCGAACTTGGAAAAGATATAAGAGATCAATTAATCGCTCATAAGATGGTTATAGATAGAGCATCTGTAATGGATATTACTGATGATTCAAGTTACGAACCCACGAGATATTTGGTATCTGATGCAGCAGTAATAGATAGGGCTTCTGTTATGGATATATCAAATGTCGAAGTAGTTTATTTAATCGAAGAATATGATGAAACAGAAAAGTTAGCTGTAGTTGAACAGGAAACTAAAACAAAAGAAAAGAAAAAATCGAAACGTTCTAAGAAATCACAGGTTGCAGATGGAGATGAAGAATCAGGATTTGTTGAGAAAGTAGTTGACTCTGATGGAACTTCTAAAGCAAAAACTACAAAATCGAAGAAAAAAACTGAAAAGAAAAAGAAAACTGGAAGCGATAGTGATGACGATCTAAGTCCGTCGCCACCAATTACTCCACCGAAATTAACCCTTCAACTAGAAATGGGCGGTGGTTCTAAAATTAATAAAAAAATTTTTGAGAAAAAAGCTGCACAATCGGAAATTAAACCGCCAATCAAAAAAGTAAAGCAAGAGATTGAAAACGAAAAACCGAAAGTGGAAAATATGATCAATTCAACAAATGAAAAAGATTCGTTGTCTAAGACAAAGAAGAAAAAGAAATCAATAACTAGTCTCAACGAAAGTGACACAGGATCTATCAGAAGTCGAAGTAAAAAGGTAAAAAGTAGTACAGGAAGTACTGCTTCAATAGTATCTAACACTGATTCCAGTATAGACAGTGATGAAAAAGAAACTGATAAATTATCTGAAAATACAGAAATTTTAAACAGGTCAGAAGAAGAACAAAGTGAAAAAAGTGATCTATCTAGCGTTATTGAAGAAGACTTAAGCATTAAAGCTGAAATAGAAGAGAATGAAACGAATCTTGTAAACGACATTAGAAAAAATTCTTTATCTGATAAAGAGTTATCTTTTGAAAAATTACATACTCCAACACCACCGAGACGTTCACCTTCACCAGCATTTCCTCCGAAACAATCAGAATCATATTACGAAAAAATGTCTCATAAATACGGTAAAACTTTTTCAGATCAAATACGTGTTTTTAATTCCATAAAGCGAGATAAACCTCACCATCCAGCTTTTATAATTAAATTAAAAGATCTTTGTGTAACTGAAACAGATAAAATTCAAATATCTTGTGTAACATATGGACCAAATTTATCATACAAATGGTTAAAAGATGATATTGTTATTAGTCCTAGTGATCGTGTACATTTCATTGAAGATGAAAATGTATTAACTTTAGAAATTTTAGATTCGCGACCGAAAGATACAGCTGATTATACATTAAAAATTTTTAATGAATATAAAACAGTTGAATGTGTTTCATACGTTAATGTTGCCGAAATGGGTGGTTATCAAGATGAACCTTGTCCTGCTTACATCGAATCGATAAATGGTAAAAGTTTACTTGAATAAATAAATTTAAAAATAATTGTATGTACAAGTAATATACATTTTCATATTTTTAGATTACTTCCATTTCATTGATGATAAATTAATGATCGAATGCAAAGTGAAAGGAATTCCTAGGCCTAGAATAACATGGTATAAAGAAGATATGCAAATCCATGATTGGATGCCAGAATATAGTTTTATTGAAGAGGCTCATGGCAGATATATTTTAGTAGTTAATCACCCAACTGAACAAGATATTGGAGTTTATACACTTGAAGTAGAAAATGATCGAGGTACTCATATAAGAAAGCATTGTGTTCAATTTTTAGCGAAAAGACCTGCAACTTCTTCGAAACTCAATTATAGAGCTTATAGATTTTTATGTTAATATTGTTGTAATTTTTGCAATTATAGTATAGTAGTTATGATTAATGGTAAATAATAATATTAAAAATTGAATTTCGACAAGGTGGAAATAATATAAATTTTTTTTATATTACGTTACGATTACGAACTTAAACTAAAAATTGCCAAGTTCTTGTAATACCCAAGCAAAATGTGTTTTATTTAAGATCGAACGAATCAAAAATAGATTCTTTAGTAAGTAATAAGGATTAACAATAGTTATATATAAAAATTTTGTTTTTTTGTCATTTACGATTAAAGCAATAAAAGTAATAAAGGATCAAATGAACAAGTTTTTAATTAACTTTGGATAAAGCATATACCCAAAAAAATCTATTAAATTACAACGAAAACTGTAGAAAATATAAAAGTTTCTTAATACAAATTTTATAAAAACAAATTGGATTCATACAAGCTGTAGCACACAAGCTGAACTCTTTAAGGAGGAATCAATTTTCAAAATGCAAACTTCAACATTTATGTGAAAATACGGCTACTGGAAAAGAAACTTTAATTTGCTATTTTACTTTATGGTTATTAATTAAAACAACTATAATCGGTCTCATTTTCGAAGCCAATTAGCTTACAAGTTTGATTCAGAAAATAATAACTGAAAATAAGCAAATATATATATACTTGAATTTTATACAAATACCTTAATAATTTTTGTCCTTGTAAATAACAAACGCTGCTTCTTCCTCTTCTAAGAAATTTCTTTTATTTTTTTGAAATTTCGTTAAATTATAATGTTTATAACATTGTTCAAAATTTTGATATTGAAGTTTAATTAATTGCTCTGTTAATGAAACGGAAACAATATAATGAAAATGAATTTTAATCTCTAGAGTATTAAATTTTAAAATCAATTAAAATCAGTATTTTTAGACAAATATTTGACGTCAAGAAATCAAAAGAAAAATTCAATAAAAAGTCAAATTGAATTTTGTTTATTTTCTTTTAGGAGAAAAATTGAAATATCAAAAGAAGGAACAAAAAATTTTTAATTTAAAAATTCATTGGAATTCCTTAAATTTTGCCAATGAAACATTTTTGTCGAAGAATTTAAGGATCAAACTAAATACAGGGTCCCTCGTATCTAAGGCATTGCTACGTACCATTAGTGTAAGTAATATCTTATGAAGAATACGATGAAGCAGAAAAGCTACTTCATGTGTAGATAACACTTTTGTTTGGAGACAATTTTCGCAGCTCAACCGCTTCCGAAATCAATCGGAATTACAGGACTTGAAATCAATCTCAACTGTTGTTTTTTTTACTTTTGGCAATGTGGATTTGAACAGCACATACATAACTGTAAAATTAAAAAAAATTTTAAATTTTAATTTTTCATTTTTAAAAAACGTTAATTTTTTAATTTTATAGCTTTCTCTAATTTGACCACAATTGGTAATCCTGTTAGGTCAGCTTTAAATTGTATATGAATGATTTTTCCAATGATTCAAAAATGTGTACAACTACCGTGTCTCTTTTCTATTATACAAAAATGATAAAATTATTAACCGAGTTTCTCTTATATTTCCAAAATTTAATGGATCGGTGCAATATTCAGTGTTATACAAAATAATACAATTTACACATAATGTTAAATGTAGCAGGGCATTTAGATACTTGAAACCCTGTTTTTACATTGTACATTAATATTTGAGGATTTGTTTTTTTGATGGAATGATTTTGAGTATTCATTAGTAAAAACAAAAGTTACAACAATTGAGGAAAGAAGCGAGTGTTACATTTTGAATGAAATTTGTTGTTTATGGAAAGTAATAAAATCTGCAACAGAGGATGCATTTTAAATATTTGCAAACTCAAAATGACTTGTCAGAGCAACAAGATTGAATTTAATTGGAAAAATTGAATAAAAAGATTTATGGAAATAATAATAATATTTTTTAATTAAAGCTTCGTTCATCCGAAACCACTTTCTTAACAATGTCTACATATTTCTTTAAGAATTATGGTGGATTAATTTTTAAAATACTCACTCAATGTTGACACAGTATATCAAGGAAATATTATTCTTTTATTTTATATTTTGATGTTTCTCAAATTTTTGGAGAATATTATGAAAAACATTTTTATTGTAACATACGATATTAGTTTCTATTCGGTGTTTCACTGTTAAAGCAAAGTTTTTCAGTATTAAAAAATTGTTTGAAAAGGAATGACTTGTGTACTATAAAAATCTAACATAAATTAGGAACTAATTTGCACTAGTATTCCTTAACGAAATTCGCAATTTTTTCTATTCAAATTACTCATTGCATTCACTTATTTTTTATTGGAAAGTTTTGTTTTTTACCGACCGTATTGTGGTAGGTTATGTGATGGCAACAAATTTTGCATATCGAGTTTTCGGTGGGAACGTACTTCTCCATAGTAGGGAAGTGTAAATAAACTATTTTTAGCAACTTGTCGGTCTGTCGGTCTGTGTGTGCACGCGTGTATCTCAAGTTCGGCTGAACCGATTTTGATGAAATTTTATATGTAAGTTTATTTCCACCATGGCACGGATTGATCAACTTTTGATATATATCAGGCCTCGGGAACTGCACTTTTTAGCGGGCCTGTTTTACGTTTTTGAACATTTTGAAGAACATATTCAACCGATTTACTTGAAATTTTATATATAAGCTCAGCTCGACCGTCCGCGAAAATTCCTATGTTTTGGAAGAAATCAGGCATCGGCAACTAGACGTTTACTACGGGCCAAAAATACATTTTTGTGTATATAAAGAGAAATAATCAACCGATTTCATTGAAATTTAATATATGAATTCCTCATATTAAAGTAATGAGCATGTAAATTTTTTGGAAAGATCAGGGCTCGAAAACTGATCTGGGGGCCGCTTTTACATTTTTCACCATATCTACGGAACGAATTGATGGAATTTCTTGAAATTTGATATTTCAGTTCTAGTTGTTACGGTTCTGTTCTAGTGTATTTGAATTCTAGTTGTTTAGTTAGTCGGGTAGCACAAAGTGAAACTCTACTAAGAGCCAAATTTACATTTTTCTAGGTATGTTAACTATAAGCTTTCTAATGTCCTAAAAATTGGAAAGAAGTATTTAACAGACATTTTTATAATATTTTGTAACACTTTTATTTAACTAGACAATACACAATGCGGTCGGTTATGTGCTGATCACATCAGATTTTTTAAAATACCTTTATTTTTCAATTCATTTTCAACTCAATTTTAAAATTATCTTCTCAGAGAGTAAGTACTTCAAGCTTTTCAAAATTCTTAAAAATTTTCTAAAAATTAAATCAAATTCTAAAGCATCTTTTCAAAAAATTTTACGAAAACAAAAAAATCAAAACCAAAAGGTTTCGTTTAAGTTTTTTAAAAAAAAAACAAATCCAAAATTCTAATGGAAATTTCAAATAAAGAAAACCAAATGAAGAAATCTCAAAAAAAAATAAAAAAAGAAGATAAAGGAATGATGATAAAAACTTGGAATACCATTGAATGAATGGGACACAAGTAAGATTTTAAATGCTTTCATCCTTTTTGATGGATGAGGGTATTTTGAATATTGAATATCTAACCTAAAGTTCTCTAAAAATTCTCTTTTTTCACCTAACATTACTACGAGTAGGAATTAATGAATACTATCTTCCTTCAAACACGTTTTTATATATAAAAGTCCAAAATTCTTTAAAAGTGATCCATTACATATGAAATGTTATATTTGACTTAATGAAATATAAAAGCAAAAAATTGTTGATTCCAACTATAGGATAGCAATAATGTTGCACGGAAATGATTTTTTCTTCAAAGCTTAGTAATCATATTAATTCCGCGGAGATGGGAGAGCCAAAAAAATATTTTTTTATATGTACGTAATACGACACATTTAAAAATCACTGTAATTTTTATTATTACCTCGAATAAAATCGAGTAATAAGAGATCAATGGAGATTGTGAGTAATATTATTTTGCTCAAAATATTAGAAATGGAATAGTAGTGCAATAAGACTCACACAATCTGAAAAAGCTTATAACAAAATTTTTCATTTAACAAGAAATTTTTATATACATGTTTTAGGACTGGAAATTAAATAATTGTTAACTATTCAACCGGAAATAACATTATACAATTTAATTCCAAAATAAAGTTAATATATAGGAGCGCACACTTCAATTTCCTTAATTACCATGCTTGATCGAATTTCTTCGATTTTTTTTTCTTTCTCTTTTTTTTTGCGTAATTAAAATCAGTTTATAAGTAATAAAACAAATAAGGGTCTTTAATGGGATTTTAATTTTGTTACATAAAAAATTTTCTTAACAGAACGGTTGATTTAGTTTTTAAATTGCTTCTTATGCAATATGTGTGTTTGTGCGTATCAATGTTGTACAAATAGTAGTATAGTAAATTTCCGATGTTAATGGTATAAAAATTCTATACAATGTTAATAAAAAGAAAATTAATGATTTTATGCGTATAATTTGGTTTTTATTATGCTTAAAAAGATAAAATAGAAAAAAAAAATATTTTAAGCTAATTGACTTTTACTTTCTTCCACGAATTATTTCACGTATTATTAATCGAAATTCAAGATAAAAATGTTAATTTTATTGTTTAAATGGACTTATGAAATGACTTAACTCTTTAACTCCTCCTCTCTTTAACATGAAATACGAACATTAAAGTGTGATGCAATTTTTGTTTAGAATTTAACTTATTCCAAAAATTTTTCGCTTAACTCGGTAGATTAGGAAGTTCAAGAGACTTTTAATCCATAATAATCAATATAAATATATTGACTCAATACTGTTAAATTATTTAAGTTGGTACATTCAATTCTGAAATTGTCTAGCACAATTCATTTTTTGTAGCTTCATGTTATGAATTTTGTGTTAAAATAATAATACACTCATATTATGGCATGTTATATGTAATAATTAATATTAGCCTTAACTTTTTTAGAAATTGCTCGGTATGAGAAGTGTGTCACATAATGTGAATTAACTTGAGCTTTATAAAAAATATTTCCAATCGATTAATACCAGATGTTTTATTTTTTGATAATTAATTTCTACAGTGATAATTCATTTACAAATCCCTTACATCTCGAATTATAATCTTTTATAAAATTAATAAAGTATAGTATAAGCTTTGGCATATCAGGAACATCAATAATGAATGAAGAAGGATTTTTTGCAGATGCAAGAAAACTTAATGAAATTTTAAATCTATTATTAAACGTAAG